CTGACTATAGATATAGCCAGAAAGCAAGATGGTGTTTTGCACTTGAGCCTCATAGACATATCCTTATGTGATTTCAGAGCTGGCTGCTAATTTAAAGGACATTCAACTCGCTCATTTTACAGATGAAGAAACTGAGACCCACAAAGGAAAGTGATGGGCCTCCTAAAGGCCACGCTTGCTTTTCAATACATTTGCAGCTTTTATCTGGAATTGGGGTGGAAGCTTCTATAGTTCCAAGTATATTTTAAGTGAATCTGAATTTCCATAAAATATAAATTAGAGTAGGACTCTCTATAAAAGTGTCCACAAATAGCAAGGTCAAATATGACTGAATAATTTTAAAAAATCCTTTTACAGATGACTCTTTTTTTTTCTTTTTTTTGCTGGGTAATTGGGGTTCAGCAACTTGCCCAGGGTCACACAGCTAGTAAGTGTTGTATGTCTGAGACCAGATTTGAACTCGGGTCCTCCAGACTCCAAGGCCAGAGCTCTCATATCACTCTTTAGAACATAGGTGGAATCATATTGATTCTCTGTAACAAGAAAACGTGGGGAGTGTTATCCTTTCAGAAGCAGTCCAGTGTAGTGGTTAGGGAGTTAGCACTGGGTAAACTGGATTCAGGTCCTCCTGCTAATTCACACTGGCTGTGTGGTGAAGTCCCTTAACCTTTCAGTGCCCCAGGCATCTTTCTAAGATTATCAATTGCAGAGAAGGTGGCAGTCTTCATTAACTAAAGGAGCCGCTTCCTGGGAGCTCCCCATGGCCATGAAATTCCAGGTCTTATTTAATAACAAAACAAAACAAAACAAAACAAAAAAAGATCCTCTACTGCCTACCTCACATGTTGTTACAAGGAAAGTGCTTTGTAAACTTTAAGGCACTAGAAAAATGTGAGTTACTTTTATTATTATCTACTGCAGGATAATAAGCAGGTGTTCCAAAGTTTATAAAAAACACTCATTAAAGACCAAACCTGATTCTCCCCTGCTGGCATTTGGAAGGCTATGAACAACACAGCCTCCTGGTGCTGGAAGGAGAAAGAAAAACACCCTTCCCTGTATCCTGCCTTCTTTTTTAACAGCTCCTATAGAATCCCTTGGCTAAGGCAACACCTCAGCCTCTGACTTCAGGGAAAGTTTGCTTTTCAGCTTCCTATTTTCAGTGTATAGAATTGTGGGCTTGGGAGTACAAGATACTAAAGAGGATCGAAGTGGTAGTTGCATTGTATGACCCCATCATTGATTTTGCGCAAGCATCTCTTTTTACAACTCAAGGAATGGCATCACATTTACTAGTTTATTACATAACAAGAGAAGGTCAATTCTTTGATTCCATCATAGAGCCACAGCATCGTAGAGGTGGAAATGATCTTAGAGACCATCTGGTCCAGCCCCTTTCTTTTTTTAAGATAAGAAAACAGAGGTTCATTAATTAAGTAGCTTCCCTAAGGTTGCAGAGCCAATTTATGGGCAAAGGTCTTGTCACTGGGCTGCTCTTCTTCATCCATAATACTATGAAGCTCCCTTATCCATAGCACTTATATCACAGGAGATACTTTTATAGCACAATATTACCCTTGTGTGGAATTTTAACATTGATAAACATAAATATCAAATGGGAGAGAAGGGAGATGTTAAAACCGAGTGTTACTCTTACGCAACTCTTCTACTTTGACTTTTATTTGCTTGTAAACATAGTACATGAAATAACAGTCTTTTTTCATCTCCCAACATATGGAAAGTCTCTTTCTGACATGCCTCATTTATACCTACCTAGACATTTTTCAGAAAGGTAGTGGCCCCTAGGAACAGCTCCAACTTAACTGCTGTGAGTAGAAGAATGAACTTCCCAGAAAGGGAGTCTCAAATCAGAATTTAGAAATCTGCAGTGACCAATATTAAAAATGATTACCTTAACTATAGGGGAGGGGAAAATATAAAACTTTTCTATGAGCTCTCCTAAAGCTTTCACTTGTTAATAATTCTGCTCATTACAGTTTTCTAAAAGAAAACAAAATAAATTCAGGACTAGGGACCACAATTTCAAGATCTGGGTCAAGAACCAGCTAGTAGGAGCAACTCAGTTGGTTCTTCTTGGGCTTTATCCTACAGAGACTTTTCCTAGCTCATATAACCTAATTTGGTCATTCAATTTTGCTCTCAAAAACCTCTGCCACCAATGTGTGTAGCCTTAGGCAAATCATTTAACCTTACTTTGTCTTGGGTTCTTCATTTGTAAAATGAGGGGATTAGATTCTAAAATTCTACTTCTAATATTTTGACAATCTATTCTAGCATCTTTTTACCTGAAGCTAACAAAACAAAACAAACAAACAAAAATAAAACAAACAGTGCACATTGACAGTTACATCCTGATAACTGGAGTTGTGTCTTTCAAGAGGTGAAGGAACCAATAATAGGGAATTCTAGATCTTATTCTCACCAACAAGGAAGAATTCATTACTGATGTGGAGAAATAATGGGAACCTGGGAGAAGTGGGGAAAATGACTAGAATTTATGATGGAGAAAATGATAGCTGGGAATAGTCCAACAGACATTCTAGATTTAGGGTGAACAGATTTCAAAGGGTTCAGAGAAAGGATAAGTCCCTACGGACTAAAATTGTCTAGGGAAAATCACCCTAAGAGAAATGAGTTCTCAAGAATGAAATTCTCAAGACACAAAGAAAAAGCAAACCTGATGAAGAATGGTAAATGTAGCTGTACAAAGAGGTGGGGGAGGGGGGAAAGAATCCACATGGAACTCACTAACCAATTTAGATTTTAAAAAGGCAAGTACAGAAAGGAAGCAAGGAGGATGAATAACATAAGCATAACATTTTCATGGAAGAATGATGTCTAGAGTGCTAAAGCTTAAAATGAACTGAGGCTTCTGAAAAAAGCTAAAGACAACCTTTTGTGTTGTTGTTTTTGTTTTTAACATATATTCAGGAAAAGAGGCAGCATGCCTGGTGGATAGAGAGGTCAGAGCCAGGAAGAACTAGGTTCAAGTCCATGCATCTTTGACACAAATTGAGTATGTAACCCTGGATAAAACATTTAATCTCCCAATGCCTCAGGCAGCTTAAACTCTAAGCTGGAAGAAGGTACCCTCCATGCTGCTCACCACCATGCTGCTAACTCAAGCCTTGATTAACTCCACCTCCCTCAGCCTCTTCTCCCCTCTGACTGAGGACTAGAGGATGGAGTACCAATCTCCTCCCAATGCCTTCCTTCATAGAGGGCAGAAACTGAACTCTCAGGTCATTCCTCTTGGCTTCTGCTGCCCTGCCTGGTTTCAGCTCCATGCAACAAGATGCTCCCTCATTGGACACCTGCTGGTGACCCATCTCTTCCCTTACTCTGGTTTTCTACCTCTTTGTGTATGTTGTCTCTTTTAGATTGTAAGCTCATTGAGGGAAGGGTCTGTCTGTCTTTTTATTAATTATATCCCCAGCACTTAGCACAGTGCCTGGCACTAATAAATGTTTGTGGGATTTGATCCTCAGTTTCCTCCTCCACCAAATGAAGAGTTTGGACAAGATGATTGTCAAAATAAAGTAGCAATGGGGTATAATGGAAAAAAATGCTTACTTTAGAGTCAAAGGATCTTCATTCAAATCCTAGCTCAATCACTTATTAATTGTATCATCTTGGTAAGTCCTTTACCCTCTCTGGCTCTCAGTTTCTTCATCTTTAAAATGAGTGAACTGGACCAAATGAACTTTAAGGTCCCTTACAACTCTAAATCTATGATCCTTTGACCTTAACAGTGGAAAAATTTCATGCTATCCATAAAGCATTCCACATAATGATTCTCACCATTCTTTTTGTTATTGATGGTGTTAATGAATTCATTTAACAAACATTCTTAGGTATATTCAACTCAGTAGACATTTGAACATTCATGTTAAACTAGTTGGGATATAAAGCTGGGAAAAGCTACCCATATCACAAGGCTATAAGGAAGGTGCTTTATAAAACCTAAAGTGATATATAATTTTGAGTTATTATAAGTGCTAGCAATAGTAGAAATGTAAATAACAAGACCATCCTCCATCCTCCATCTCCACCTCCATAGCAAGATCATCTCCAAGGTTAAAACCAGGAATATGATATGTATGCAGGTAAACATAGAATGGAATAGATAGGAGCAAAGGAGAGATCTGGACAAAGTACTTAAAGAAAATTGTGCTGTATCCTGTGTCCATTCTGGGCTAGGTCAGGAGATAGAGTCCATTGTGTCACTGACCCTGCAACTGAGTTTCTTTTCAAACTCCAAGTACAATGGCCAGGTAAAGAATAGGATGGCAGAAGTTCATGAAGGCACTTAAAAAATAACTAGGCAAAATACCTTTTGGGTCAGTTTCTCCTTTTAATTTATGCATGTGTCTAGGTTTGAAAGAACCTAGTTGTGATCAAGCAGCCACATTTAATATGTTTCCTTCCCTTCCAAGATGTTAATTGTTGGTAATCTTCCTCAGCAACTTTAAACCACAGACTGGCTGCTAGGGCTCTTCTTGGAGCAGACAATGACTCTTCAGTCAACAGCCCTCGGGGGTCTACACCATTAAGTATGCATTTATATATATTTTTAAAAATGTTTAGTTCTAGACCCAGGATTTGTGTAAATGTCACAAATAACTTTGCTAACTTCTAGTCTCTACTAAGAAAAGGGACCCCCTTCATCTGAATGGCTTTAATATATGTGGTTTTGCATAGTCTAGAAGGAAGAGCTCACACCAATTCCACTTTCAGCAAATCCCTGCTTTGTCTCACCCTGTTGCTAATAATCCACATGGGAAAGTAGTGGGGTAGGGTCATTTTCAGGAAGGAAATTGATCGTTTTCCTTACATAGATATACATTTCCATTTGGGCTTAAATTTCTGCTTTGGTCAAGCTCTGCTCTTTTGCCCCAGTAGAAAAATAAAGCCAAGGAAAATCCACATTCTCACGTTTTAACAGGTCTACTTGCATCTGTTTTTTTTTTTTAAACCAGGAACCTCATTTAGTTTTCTGGAGAGGAACTCAAAGATGAGGCGGCATCTTTCAGCACCCGACTTCCTGAACCTGTCAACCAACAAAGATCGACTTTAAGAATAAACTTCTGAGAGCAGCTAAGGCTCTGGAGTATTTCCCTCCCTCTCTGTAGCCAGTTTACTTTGAACACAGCAAATTATCCGAAGAATTCAAACAAAAGCCACACTTTTACTTCAGTTATTCTGTAGATCTTCTATTTTTAAAAAGCATTTACAAATCAGGTAACTGAGTTATTCATTTGTGTCTCCATTTAGCCTTTCTATGGAAAACTGTCATTCGAATTCTCTGAGGTGATAAGTGGGAGGAGGAGGTGGGGACTCTTACAGGTAAAAGGCAGACACTTATCTCATTGTCCTTTCTCCTGCCTTAAGTCTGTCTTTAGGTCTACTGGGAGCCAAAACTAGAAGGTGAGGAGTGAGGAGTGGAAGTGTTGCTTCGTAGTGTGGTGGAAAGAATTTTAGATTTGGAATCAGGAGACTTGGGTTTGAATCTGGACTCCACCAGCGTGCTGTGTGAACCACAGCAAGTTACTTCCTAGCTCTGGGCCTCAGTTTCCTCAATGTAAAATGGGGGGGGCTGGACTAGCTCATCATTAAGGTCCCTTCCAACTCCAGACCCTATGATTTCGATAATCATCTCCCACTTCCTGAGGTTTTCTTTTGCTGAGGGCTGCTCCCAGTCTAAACAGATTCTTCCAGTTAAAAAAAAAATGAGTGCATGGGTAAAGCTGAAGTATGGGAAAGAAACAAGAGATGGGGGCTGGTTAACACACGTCTGAGTACTGTGGACTATGGTTTCCTAGATGGGAGGAGACTGGGAAAATTTACCCAAAGAGAAAGACCTTCTCCGATCAGTCTACCTCCTGGTAGGGTCCTATTCCTGGCACTATTTACGGGCACTGTCGGTCCCTAATCAGGAAGAGCATCTCTCTCTAGTTGCTTGTGCAAGGCTGGGCTGTGCTGGGACTAGGCGATGCCCTGGGGCCCGAAGCGACCGGGGAAGGTGCTGAGGGAGCTCGCTGGCCCAAGAGTCCCGGAGAATGTACGTGGAGAGGGTTAACTTTGGTGGGAGATGCTCACTCGAACAGTGGGAGACTTGGACAGACTCTTCGGTTGGGGAAAGGCCACTTTCCTCCAAGGGTGATGAAGCAGGAGATGATGGCCGGGGGGCTGGGCCAGCTGGGTGTGATGCAAGGGTGTGTGTGTGTGTGTGTGTGTGTGTGTGTAAATGTGTGTGCGCCCCACCGAAAGCAGTCTCCTCCTCTTCTGGCAACTTGAACCTATGACTGCAAAGCTCCCTTTACAACTATCAACAGGCTGCGAGTGCGTGTCTTTCTGTGTAGTGGGGGGTGGGGGTGGCAGAGAGGCGGGGGACACGCATTTTGAGACAGAAGTCCCGGTGCGATCCACAGGCCAGGAACCCAGGCGTCCTCTCCTCCCTCCCATCCTTGCTCGGGGCTAACTGCCGTAAGAAACTGGAGTGACTGGCTCGGAAGACACATCTCTTGTTGAGTGCCTTTCTTCCCACCCGCCCGCCCTTTGGGTCTTGGGACTGGGGCAGTAGGCGTGCAGAGTTCTGCAGAGCGGATGGACTTGTGGGCAGGTTGGAGAACCCCGCGGGGGTCCTGCGGCCACCCGGGAGGTCCCGAAGGTCAGCAGCAGTGAGGACGCTAGGGCGTATCCAACCTGTGCGGCTAGTTCGGGCGAAGGCGGGGAAAACGGGGCGGGGGGTCCTGTCGGAGAGAATTGGAAGCTCGTGACCATGGTCCCCAAATTGTGGTTGTTCGTGTTCCTTGGAGGTAGGTTACGCTGCGGGAGCTGAGAGGGCTATGTGAGCCTGGAGGGGAAGAAGGAATGCTCAGTGGAATTGGGGAGGGTGGAATAGAGCCCCTATCTCTCTTTGTTTGGGATGGGGTCGTGGAGGGCTTTTGCTAAAGCCTCTCTGCCGTACTATCGCTTTCTTGGCTGCGGAGCAGGTGAAGCTGCCCCCTCGTTCCACGCGCCAGCTCTGTTCTCTCGCCTTCTTCCTCAGTCCCTCAGCCCTAGAGCCGCCGCTCAGCTTCGGGCTAGGGCTCAGTCCCCTGCCGCAGCAGCCCGCCTCCGAGCTAACTCAGGCACCTGCCGGCTCACGTGTGCCGAGAGCCGCGGGAACTGGACTGCGGGGCGGGCTAACGGCTGGACTGGCCCTGGAGGGCCCTCGGGGCGGGGCAGGCAGACAGAGCTACCGGGCAGCCTGGCCCAGCGCAGCCGGACAGCTGAATTGCTCCCACCCACACACCCCAAGCCAAGGAGTGGGTTCCCAGATTTCGCGAATCCTTGCTTGGAGTTTGGGAGTATCCAGGGCCAAAGCTCCCTCCTTGGAGGCCAGAAATCTTGAAGCTTGGGCATGAGTGCGGGGTAGATGGGAGTCAGCCCCGGAGCTCCAGTGAGGAGATGGCCTAGAGGAAGCTGCCTTCACGCCACTTGGCCCAGCCACATGCTACGCCGGCAAATTCAGCCCCGCACACGCAGTCTGGCAGTTTCCAGGTTCCTCCAGGGCTGGGGTCGGTATGGTCTAGCCTGAGGGTCCCGGGGTCTGGAACTCTAATGAACTTCCCCTTCGCCAACCTCTCCAGCGTTTCCCCAAATTCAGGTATCTGGAACAGATAAATTTCAGGGATTCCCGTAATTCTCTCTTCTCTCTGTGTCTCAGTCTCTGTGTCTCTGTCTCTGTCTCTCTCAAGTAAAATTTTACTTGATTTAAAAAGGACCCATTGATAACTTGATCTGTTCAGATACTCCATAGTAGAGTCCAAAACTATGTCTCTCTGTCTTTTTGTGTATCTCTCTCTACCACCTTCTCCTTCCTTTCCCTCTTCTGTCTCTCTTGGTCTCTGTCTTCTGTCTTTCGGTCCCTACACCTCTGTCTCTACTTCTGTCTCAAGAGATTATGAGATCTTTCTTAGGATCTCTGTCTCCCCACTCCTGTCCGTCTTTGTCTCTATATCTCTGTCTCTCATATGTGATTAAATACGAACTATTTACTCCCCCACATTTTCTCTTCCAGTACTATAGGTAATGAACCAGATACTAGCTCTTCCTTCGGTGACATTTAAATCAACAGTATTTCCACAATCGAATTCGAGTGTGTTAAAAAAAAAATCTGTTCTGAGTTGAAGTGGGGGAGATGAAGGAAGGTCAAAGGGTTGGGCAATTTAGCGGTTTGAAGCCTTATAGGTACATTCATCAAAAAAGATCCATTCATCAAAAAAAAAAACTTTTCGCTGTCAGGATTGGAGGTGAGAGTTCACATAGAGCTGCCCTGCACACCCCTCCCCCCACTTCACCTTTCAGTTCGTAAGACAAAAGTAGGGGAAAGGTTCACCCTTTGAAGTAGGAAAAATAAGAAACAGTAAGTCTCTTCTATTTTAAGGGGGGGAAGAAGTGAAGAAAATCTAATATAATGGGAAGGGGAGGGGTGCTAAGAGGGAGATGGGAAAAGCAGCCTAGGGTAGCAGCTGTTTCCAACACACAGGAGGGGGACAGTAATGAGAAATGGGGACACATTTCTACTGGGAAACCTGCAGCTCCGGACACACAGATCCCGGGTATTATTGACTTTGGCAGTACTTGTACTCCTTCTGCCAATAAAATCATTGAAACTACAGCATCGAAGCTCCGACGTTTGGAGTCTTGCAGCCCTTTCTCTCGTCATTCTCTCTTTGTGACCTTTTGCCACAACAAATCAGGCAGATTGAGCCAGAGAGAAACCAAGATTAATCGAATATGATGAGGGAGGACTGAGTAATGATATTAGCCGTGGCTGTAGGAGTCTTCCTGTGTTAAAATTTAGAGACAGATGACTGTAAATGGTGAATATTTCCTGCCTCCCCCCTTCGGGAGTCTTTGAAATTCATTGCTCTAAGCTGGGTACTATTTCCCACTTAACACTTAGAAAGTTATTTTCACCAGAGATGATGAGGAGTCCTTTGCTTTATAAAAGGAAGCAGAACACAGTTAATCCTTTTCATGGTTACATAATTTAGGCTCATAAGTAAAGGCATGTCTGAATTCTTTTTTCCCTTTAATTTCTGGAGAAACTGTACATTGCATTTTAAAAAATGAGTAAATTCAGATGGGCAGCACTTCAAAAATGAGCCAATTTGAAGGGCTATAGTTCAGAAGAATCTTTCTGAAATCACTAGGTTGGATGAATTTTGTTATTCTTTTTCAAAAGGACCAGGAAATCAAAGAGGCAATGTAGCCCCAAGAAAAACAGCATTGCTTAGGTAGTTTCTAATTTTGATGTTGATTTTTCCCATTTGTGCTAGATCACCCTTGTGTATGCAAACTCCATCATCATAAATGACATGTGCTAAGTTGTGGGGAAATACACTTTAAAGCAAAGCCTTCTTCCAAACTTTGTTCTGCCAGATGCATCTTGTTCTAGTTCTGGATTCCAGCTTTGGTTTTCTCCATAGCAATTTCTGGCTTTTGAAAATCTCCTTACTCAACAATTTATGCTTGAGGGGAAAATGGAGAAACCACAATTTTTTTTCATTTTAAAAAATCAGCCTCATTTTTATCTATATCCATATAGTTTGTAACATGGCAAAGTTATTATGGAAACAGTAACTAGAATAAAATCACAGCTTTATATTATGAATTAGTTGTTGATTTTTGGCTGGATATTGAAACAAAGTACAAAACTGGAAGAAAATGTACATAAACAAGCTCATATAATAGTAAACGTGCACTCAAATTAGATATTTATTGATTATTATTATGAAATAGGTTTTTGGCCTGCCCTTACCTACCTTTTCATGAGGCCATTCCTCATAGACAAATCACTGTGTCCAACTGCTGGGCTTATCTTCTGATCAAAACAATAGTCATCTAACTCAAAATGAGTGTCTTCAGGAAAATGGAGTTTCTTTGATTTTAAAACTGTGTCAGAAATGAATTAGAGGTATAAATGGAAAAAAATTTTTGTATAATACATTGAAATTTAAATATGTTAATTGAAGCTTTAAGCAAAAGTGAACTCTCATACAATTTCCAAGATGCAATAGTTCCATGCAAAAATAAGTTTGCAAAATTATGCTCAATGGCCCAATTCAAAGGAATGGGGCCATTAAAAAAAAAGTCTCAAACTCACATGGGCTGACTATACTTGATTAGACAACTGACAATGTAGGGAAAGAATGAAATGCTGAGACTGGCAGTAGGTCCAACATATTCAGCCAAGAGTTGCAGAACAAGCTCTTCACAGAACCAAAAATGCCATAGGGCCATATTTGTATAAAGCTGATCGACTCTGGGCTTTTTAAGATCTCTTCCAAAAGACCCTGAAATGGGAAACTGATATCCAATTAACCAATGTAAAGGTGGAGGAGCTGAGCCCATGTAGTGGAACTAAGGATCTAAGGATATTGAAGGGAATGTTAGAAAAGCAGACCCTAGAGCAGGGGTGGGGAACCTTCAGCCTCAAGGCCACATGTGGCCTTCTAGGTCCTCAAGTGATGGTGGGACATGGACAAGGGTCCCACAGAATGAACAGGTAGGGATGGAGTATAAATGCATCATTGGGGAGATTACCCATATCAGTGAGATCACAGATCCATTGGTGTATTGGAGTATTAGAGTTTGGAACAGTCATATTAGGATGGATCCAAAGTTGACCCAACTTCTTTTGTGTAGTCAGGGATTCTCTATGTGATCTTGAGCAAGCCACTTTTTCTCTGGGGACCTAAGTTTCCTTAACTGGAGAAACATGGGGAGTTTTAAAGCTTCTTCCAGCTCTAAGATTCTATGATTTCAGAATTCTATAGACCAAGTCACTTTATTTCTTAAAGTCTTAGTTCCTGTGATTATACTTCAACATTTAAAGGATCCATGGTTTTTAATTCGTGTAAATATTGCTCAGTGCACTGACACAGGTAAAAATTCCTGCTATTCTTCAGTAGAGAGTGTTCTTGATTGCTAAAGCTTAAACAAAAAAAGTCACCTGTTGACCAGCCTTCTTGATGGTAAGCCTCAGTTATTTGGGGCTAATACATTCTGCCTCACAGGATTGTTGTGAGGAAAAAAAGGTTTCTAAACATTAAGTAACCTGTGAGCTGCTTGAATTATTATTTAGAAGAGAGCTTCTTAGAAAATAAGTGATTAAAGAATGAAAATTTCCCTTTGCTCAGGCATCCTCTAATGGCTTAAGAAGATGGAGGATATCATAGAACCAGGTTAATGACCCATTTGACCTAATTTTTTTCTCTTACAGTTTTATCTCTTAAAGGATGTAGTTGTCTTACTTTATTTTGAACCATCTCAAAGATAAGAGCTGTGCTCTCCCTCCCCCAAACATCCTAGCTTTCTCTTTATACGATTTTGTGGTTCAGAATTATGTGAATCCCTTTTTCCTTTCACGTATGTAGGTATTACCACTGATGCTCACTTTGAATCTTCCAAAGAATGCCAGTGATTTTCCTCATTAACATCTTTACTCTTTCTCCACCCCTTCTGACCAGCCAGAGTCCAATGTCCAAGGCCATTGAACAGGGCAAAACTAACCAACTCAGATAAAAAGAGGTCATAATTTTGACCTCAAGAGCATGCTGCTCTAATCAAGAGAACTAACAGGCCTAGAGAAAGAACATATTGTGGAGCAGAAGTTCATTTGAAATTGCAAATGAACTCTACTCTTCCTTTTACCCTCAACTCATCTTAACATTAAAGTCAGATTTCAGTGACTGTTTTGAAACTTTTCCTATTTGTCGGTATATTCTTCCTTCTTGTTGTTGTTCAGTCTCTTCAGTCATGTTCG